AAATTTCCTCAAATTTTTTCAAATTTTCCGCCCCGTTTATTTTGTTTTCTTCTTGCTTAGTTAAACCTTTTATGTATTTAAATCTTCATCATTGTTTCTCCTTTCCATTCTCGCCTTTGGCCGCGTTTATAAAATCTTCCTTTAATTCTCGCATCTCTCCTCTTTTTTTAATTTGGTCAAGGGTGCGAAAAAATTTACTTTTGTGAAAATTGAGGTTGGACTCTTCGGTAATTTGGAGAATTTTGGCTTGGAGTTTTTCGTCCTTCAACTTATTTACCTTGGCTTCAGCGTCTCATACTATTTGGTTAAGAGGATTTCAATTGATTTCTTGGCTTTTGGAAGAAACGATGTAAAAAAATGCCAGATGTCAATGCTGGTTTTTTTGAAATCATTCAAAACTATTTGGAGAAGGATAGTTAATTTCTTCTCGATCTAATTCCTTACTCAATTTGTCCGCAAGTTCACTACAAAATTCAGTTAAAGTTTTGACAAAATAATCCCTAATTGCTTTGTTTCTTTTTGTTACCGTTGTTGCTTCATCAATTTTTTTCAACTTCCAAACATTTTGATTTTGTTTGGTCTTGATGATAAGAGAATGAAGTTCTTCGTTGCCTTTTATTTCTTCTACTACCCTTTTTCTAATTCTTAATTGTTTTTTTGCTTCTTGCAGCTCGGCATTAACGCTGTTTAGATGTTGAATATTAAGTTGGTTGTTGTTTGGCATAACTTTTTTTTTGACCTAGATTCATCTAGGTTTTATTTTTTATTTTATACTATGTTTTCTCTTTCTTCAAATGTAAAGAGAAAATTGATTCTAAACTAAACTGAGTAAAAAAGTTAATGCTAGTATGAAAAATAAAGATAAAAAATAAGCCTTGTTTTTATTCCTTGTTTTGACTATGATGACTTATTAAAATTACCAGTTTGTCTCGGGCCAGTTCGGCACAACGTTGTTGAAATTTTTGTCGGTTGTTAGCGTCTAAAGCATTATCGGCTTCGTCAAAAATAAATATTTGTTTGTGGCTTTCTTGAGTGAAAATATTAGCAATATCAACTAATTGCTTTTGTCCGGTTGACAAACCATTTTCGATTAAATTTTGGTGTTCGGAGTAGGCGAGTTTTTTTCGTCATTCTATTAAGTTTAATTCGCTTAAACGATATTTATCATTAATTCAAACTTCTCCTTCTCATAAGGGATACAAGCCGAATAGCAAATTAATAAGGGTGCTTTTGCCAAAGCCATTCTCCCCCCGTAAATAGTTAACTTTACCTTTCTGAAAATGTAAATCTAATCCGTTCAAAACTGGTTTATCTTGCTCATAACCAAAAACGACCTTTTCAAAACTTAGACTTTTTATGGGCTCAGAAATAAGCAGATTTTTTTGCTGGTCGTCACGCTCCGGTAGAGCCAAAAATTCGTTTATGCGGGCAGCAGCGGAAAAATAATAAGGATAATCCCGCAGTCTTTCCACCATTTTTTTTATTCCGCCGAATATTTTGCCGAATAATTTGGAAGTTAGCAAGGTGCTGGTTCCTGTATTGCGGAGAAAAATCAACGCAAAAAAGTCATAGTAAGGAGTTAATAAAAAGGACGGTATTACTCAGGAGCGAGTATAAATCCAGTCGCGGTGGTCGGCTTCATCACTGGTCTGATCAACAATTTTTTGGTAAGCGTTGCTAGTATCAGTAGTTAAACCTTTTTTGATAATTAATTCCCGATTATTAATAATAATGTCTTCTTCTCGGATTTGGTGGGCTAGTTTTTTTTGAAACCTTAAATCGGCTCAATAAAGAATATATTCGAGTAGGAGAACAACGATTAGGATGACAATTGAATAACCCAAACCGGCTCAAATGGGACTATAATTAGGATTGGGTTCGTCTCTAGTAGTTATTATTATGGAGAGGAGATTGAAAATCATGCTGACGACAAAGTAAAATAATTGGTTAGGAACAAACATCACGTTGTAAGTAAAACGGCGGAGGTCATTATTAAAAATGTTGAGAATATTTTTCTTATCGTAAGAGCCCCGCAGTCGAAAAAACTTTTTTATTAGTCGGGCACGCAAAAAGCGGTTAAGCTTATTTTCAAAATAATGAGCGTAAAAAACGTGAGCTCGTTAAGGGTTTGGCCCTGTTGAGCTGTGTTAATCGGGCTACTCAAATCTAATCGATCAGAAAGATCCTG